CAAGATAACTTTAGTTTCCATCGATAATTACGACTTCGATAAGTACATTTTCACAATTAGGCAAATAATAATAATAACGAAATGGGACGGAACATAAATTTCATCAAAACGTCACTTTTTCACGCCTATAAGTTCGGCTATTCATCGTGATGCGGCGGTGTAACACATCACGCAAGCACAAGTTCATGTCCGTGTGCTTTCCTATGGCGCGCCGAGAGTGAACGAGACAGCGAGCTCTTTCTCCCACTAGTAGCTTATTTCATAAGCTATCTCGGCTGCCCTAGGCATTCATAAGGGACGGGGGGGGGGGGGGGGGGCGTCCTAAATAAACATATAAGTTTTAATAAATTGTAGTAATAGTACCTCTTCCCTTAATCCAGAATAGTATAAATGTTGAAATCACTAAAAAATTACGTTTGAGTATGGAACGCATGTCTGATTAACAAATTTAAGTCACATTAACTATGTTTCTGTAGTTAATATGCTGTAAAAAGTGTTCAATGGACAATTAAATGTACGGAATTATCAGTACAAAATTGGTTTTATGAATTTAATTGTAAATGCAAATATGACGTATGTAAACAAATAATTAATAAGTAATTTGTCAAATGTTAGCATAATTGTTAAAAATATAACACTAACTTTTGCAAATATAAAAATAAATTAGTGTTACATGAAAAATATTTTGCAATTATATTCAACAGTTACACGAACATTTGGCAAATTCTTTATTATTTGTTTACATATGTCATATTTGCATCTGCAATTAAATTCATAAAAATAATAAAAATAATTTTGTACTGATAATTCCGTATATTTAATTATCCAATTAAACACTTTTTACGGCATGTTAAATAAAGAAACAGCTAATGTGACAAATTTGTTAATCAGACATGCACTCCTTAAACGTAATTTTTTAATAAATCGGAAAAATAAAAATTTAAGAAACAAAAAACTAAAAATTATAATAATGAATGCAGCCAAATGTGGTGTTAAAAATCTGTTTCATTCTTTTATTTTATTTCAAGTTTAATTATGATATATACAAGATTTTTTATTAATTTTGTTTTAGAGCCGAAGACATCAAAAAAGAAAAACAGATAAAATAGCAAAAAAACATAAAAAAGAGTTGAAGAATCTATATGGACTTATGGTATTACTAAAGGATATAATATGGGAACACATGAATCATGCAAGAATAAATAATGAAGAAAGTGAAAGTGATACAGACGATGAAAGTGACAATTCTTTCTATAATATATTTTTGGACGATTCGTTCTCAGATTCAGGCATTTTGTCGTTTTCATCAAGCATTTCGTCTTTAGACACTTCATCTTCAGAAGATTCGTCTTTAGA